GCTCCTGCTTTGCACATGCTATAGAAAGGGTTCCCAGCCCTTACCATTCTGTCCTAAAGCAAGGAGGAAGGTGCTGAGGACTCCCTGTCTCCCTCCCCACATCTCCGCTGCAGACTCCTTCATTCTCTGCTGCTCCAGTCTCTATGGCCTCTTTCCCGAAGAGAAAAGCCCTGCTGCTATGTAGGTCTTGTGATTGCAGCTAAGCTGGGAACTGGATAAATCAAGGCTGCATCTGTTCAATTGGAGGAAGCCAGCATCTTGGGCTATGTACCTGTTTCTGGGGTGGGACAGCGGAAAGGCTTGCAGCAACCTCTTTCCCCTGGGCTCCCATTTTCATAGCAGGCCGGAACCAAGGGCACAGCATACCTGCCTGGTGATTATCCCTAAGCAGTACATGTGTTCACACTGTCCAGCCAGCTCCGTGCAGTCAGCCAGCTCCACCTCAGGGAGGGAGGTGAACACCTGCCTGCTGTTGAGGCCCCCAATGCCTTTGTAGAGCTCCTCAGCAGGAAGTCTTTCTCTCTGAGACTCACCAGGCACCTCTGAGTAAGGCAGCATGGAGATCTCCTTTTAGCCTCGTTATTGCCTCTGCCCCGGCAACACCCTGGTGCAGGAGAAGGGTTCCATTACATCTGGGTGGCTTACTGACTTACTTACTGGGAGATAGATTAGAAGAGCCTCCAGAAGGGAACATTTGTGAAATGCTCTCAAGCCTCTGCCCAGGTGGGGTTCAGGACCCCAGTTCAGAGCTTCCGGTGGTGGGGTCAGGGTGGGGGATGGGGGAATGGGGGATCCTCCACCATTTGGGACAGGGGGTCCCCACAGGTGAGCAACCTTTCAATGGGGCATCATGGCTCTGGGTTGGTTGCCACCTCCAGAGAACTCTGTACATTCTGTTCCCATTTCATTACAAAATGTATGATGCTTAATATGTGCATTCCTTATAGAAGGTGTTAGATCCAGGAGCAAGGTTAAAGAAGAGAGCTGCGTTAAAATGTGAAGCAAACATCACCCATTTCCGCTATGCTTCATCCGCCCTGCCCTGCCCTGTCCCCTAGGGAAGTCACCAGAGCTTAATGGCATTTGTCACATATCTGTTACGAATTTTTTACTATTTCTGTCTGTCTGTATATATGTATGTATAGCTCGTTTTGAATTTCTAAATTCAAACATTTTTAAGAAAATCAAATAAAATGGTGGGAGTACAGCCATTTAAAATTTCTTAAATTTATTTTTATTTTATGTATTTTGCATATATGAACTAATTGTTTTGTCTACATGTATGTGTATGTGCTATGAGACTAATTTGTGCCCATGGAAACCAAAAGAAGGCATCTAATCCCCTGGAACCAGAGTTACAGAAGGTTGTGAACTACCATGTGGGTGCTGGGACTTGAACCCAGGTCCTCTAGAAGAGCAGTCAGTGTTCTTACCTGCTGCATTCTCTCTCCAGACCTAGAATTACAGCCCTTTGAGCTTCACTCGCATGCCAAGTATTGTCCTAGAAGATAAAGTACCCTTGGACCTTGAATTTGACTGGTGCGGGTGAATACTGCTTTCTCATTGGCTTCTGTCTGGAATATAGAGAAGTGGCTGTCTCTGAAGATGGTTGCCAGGGGAACATGGGAAGGAAATGCTGCCACCCACCCAAGTAGGCTTGGTTGCAAAAGGTCTTGGCTGGGATTCCTGGTCAAGCAGGGCCACACAGGACACCCGTGTCTGGCTTCTGGGAGACAGGTAGACTAGGCTGACTGCCAGTCGCCGGGGCAGGCATGAGGCTGAGAGACACCTGCTGAATGTGGAGCTTCAGGACAGACAGAGAGACCTCAGAGTGGACGGGAGAAGAATGCAGGGTGGGACAAACAGCTGAGATGGAGTACCAGCGTGCTAACCTACTCGTGTTGGCAGACTGGGACGCTCCAGGAGGGAACAGAGGTTTTACAGTTTGCAGAGTACACATTACTACTCTCTTCCTGCAGTTTGCTTATTGTTCTATTTCCTGAATACCTACTATGTGCCAGGCTTACTGTGGGTCACATCATGTCAGAGATAAGAGAGGAGGTGGGGCTTTCCCTGCCTGCTTTCTGGTCTAGAAGGAAGCCAGCTGGTCTCCCCACACACAGTGGCTAACAACAGCCCTGGGTAGCCTTCCGTCCTGCTCCTCTGCCTCCTGAGCCTCTGGCAGAAGAAACAGCTCTCTGTGGCATGTGGCATTTGCAAAGCTTGATGAGAGGTGCAGATGAAGTGATGAAACTGGTGGCTTGGGAAGTGTCTGCTGGGACCAAGTATGCTGCTGCTGATGCACCTCCCCTGCTGGCAGGACCATGGGCAGGGAAGGCAGGTGTGGGTCACAGGTCAAAGAGCAAGGCATAGGTTCCCCCTCTAGGAGGGTGGAGACTAGTAAGGGGAAATGCTTAAGTCTGTAACAGATGTAAGCAGTAAGTTACAAAACTACCGTGAAAAGGTCTTACGAGGAACTTCAGGAAAGATTTAAACTTTTTAAAATAAATTTACACATAAAAGAATATTTTTGCCTAAATAATATTTAGAGAGTCTGTTTAAAAACTAGTTCGTAATCCTCCAATCTGAAACTTGGGGTCATTATAGAAACCCAGCCCAGAGGAGGAAGAGGAGGAGATGGAGGAAGACAGAGACAGCTGGCCACAGTGCTCTCCACTCAGCTGTACACATGCCATTGATGAGGCCTAGTTTTTGTCAACTTGACAAAGCTAGAGTTCCCCTAGGAAGAGAGAGCCTCAAGTGAGGCTTCCATCAGAGTGGCCTGTGGGCCAGTTTGTTCAGTAATTTCTTGATTAATGTTTAATGTAGGAGTGTCTAGTCCACCTTGAGTGGTGTACACTCCTGGGCAAGCCATGGGGAGCAAAGCTATGTGCAGTGTTCCTCATGGTCTCTGCTTCAGCTCCTGCCTCCAGGTTCCTGCCTTGGCTTCCCTTCACGATGCAGAAATCAAACTAGGGCACAGTGCTGTTTGAAGAGAGCATTGACACAGGTGGCCTTTGGCTTTCCCAACCTGCTGCCTGCAGGGTCATCCCATATCCAGATGTCTTTTTGCTCTGGCTGTATATACTCACTAAGTTAGCCTTACCATGTATAGTCCTGTCCACTTGGCTTTTCATGAATATGCTTTCATTTAATTCCAAAGTCAGGCCAAGTGATGTTTGATGCCTGGGGCTGGCTTCATTTCACAAAGTGCCCCTGTCCTGTGACCACACTGGTCACATGCCAGTCAATTCAGGATGATGTATAGAAGGGAGCTTTGCATGGAGATGGAGCTGGCTCTCTGTACTCTTGCTCTGCCATTGCTCCTTGGGTGGGTGACAGCTGGAGCTGTAACCAGTGATTTTAGGAACTTTAGAGCTGGCTGTAAAGCACTGTTCCCCTGGGTTTGTAGTTAGTCTGGGGACTGAACATCTCATTCTCTCACATTGAGCTCTTGTCCACCTGTTCTCCAGTGAGTTGCTTTGCAAATGCTGGTGGCTTCTTAAGGGATGATGATTTATGTTTTCTAAGGCAGGGACTCTATCTGCTCTTCCTTTCTCTTGAATGGTTCCCCACGGCCCCTGATAAGAGATGCATGCTGAGTGGGCGCACAAGTTCCATCTATCGCTCTGTCTTTGAACCTCCACCAGGTTGCCATGCCCTGGGCATTGGCAGGAGACTGATTATATGCAAGCCTTGATCCTGAGAAATTGACAGGCAGAGAGGGAGGAAAGTCAGATAACACATCTGGGCCAAAGGCAAAGGTGCAGAATCAGCCACACTCGGTACAATTTCAGTGCTCTGAACCCCAAGTCACATGACCCAAACTATCTCAGGACCCTGCAGGGCTCAGCTCTGAAGCCAGACAAGCATTTGGCTGAGTGCTGAGGCCATTTATGAGTTGTTTAACCTAGGAGAGCTTCAATTTCTTTTTTTATGATATGGAAGTAGTAACGTGGTGCCCACTGTGGTCTAGGACACCTGTAAATCCCTTCTCTCTCTCCTACTTGTGTTTCGAGACTGATGAGACTTAAATGTAAACAGTTAGGAGAAAGGGTCCCAAAAGCCACCATTGCTGCCGATTAAGGATGACAGGAGGCTGTGCCTTAGGAACCTCTAACATTGAATCCCAGAATTAGGTAAATATTTCCATCTCGTCCCATGCTAGTTATAGGAGGGCTCCAGCCCATAGATTAGTGTAGACTTCTAGTTCCAGACAGGGGAAGCACCAGCTTTCATTGGGCATCGTTCAAGAGGAAGGGGCCAGGTGCCTTAGACACACCATCCAGACCTGGAATGAAGGTGGCTGTGCTTTGTCCCTCATAGGCTGGGATGTGGAATGTACAGTCTCCCACTGAGGATGCTATTTTTGGAGCGTCTAGACACTCTAAGAAATGGAAGCTAGTTGGATAAAGTGAGCCAGTCAGGAAATGTCCATGCAGCCTGTGTCCTACGTCCTGTCCTGGGCTCCCACTCCTCTTTCTGCCTACCATCACAGCCTCCCACCATGATGGGAATGAGGCGACGAGCAAAACAAATCTTCCTTCTTTGTAAGTTGTTTATGACCAGCATCTGTCACCATAATGAGAGAGCTGGTTACCAAGAATGTTCTCAAGCATTTCCTCCATGTGGGAGGATTTTTGAGGAGGAAGCCTTCAGAGCTGACGTGGGAGGGCTTCATGGTCATATAGAACTCCACATGCATTACATTTCAGATCATCATTGTATTTTATAAATGATGACAGTTGAGCCTCCTGTTAATTAAAAGTAGCTTTCCAGTGCTTTCCGCTGTGTTTTGGGAGTTATCTGGCACATTTTGAAGAAAACGAAAGACCAATCCCAAGTTAGAGTTCTGAAAGCCAGACAGGGCAAGCCTCTCCCTTCTCCATCGTTGTCTCCTTGGAGCCATGGTGCCAGCCACTTCCCAGAAAGCCAAGCAGGAGTCTGTGCTACCTGTGTTCTGATGGTCTGTCCTTGCTCTCTCTCTCTCTCTCTTACAGTGCAAACTGGAATTCCATGCTTGTTCCACAGGCAAAAGCCTCAGCTCCCTCTGCGATGGGCCCTGTCCGTGTCTGCCTGAGCCTGAGCCACCGAAACCCAAGGCAGAAAAGAGTGGTGAGTGGACAGGGTTCATGGGGTCAGGGCAGGCTTGCATGGTTAAGCCTGTCTCATTTGCCAGGAGTCAAGCTTGTGACAGAGCTGTTTAGGCCCATGAAGGGAATATGAGCTGACTTGGCAAGTAAGCTCTACCATTAAAGAGAAAAAGAAGAGCAGAGAGGCTTTTAAAACAAATCTGTTAGACCAAGGTGTGTGCTGGCATCTTTTAGATGGTAGTTTAGCTCTGCCATGGGCGGAAGGTTTTCAGCATCTAAGACCATGGCCTGCCCTTGGGTTTATTTATCTTTCTCCAATTGCAAACTCTAGAATTCTTTGAACCTCTCAAAACCAAACATCACAGAAATGAGAGAGAGCATGGCAGAGGAGAGTTTTCCCCTTAAGCATTTCTTTATCAATACATTCTCCTGGAGCACAGCATAAAGCCAAGGGACAGATGGAAGAGAGCAGCTCCCTGGGACCATTGTTTCTAGTCCAGAGTTGGGAGGGCTGGGACACTGGGGTTTCTTGGGATGTTTTCTAATGGAGAAATAATATGGCCCATTGGCCATTGCCCCTTTCTGAAATCCAAGTTTGAATTTTCCTTTAGTGACACTGGTGGTTGTTCTTAGCTGTGATTGGCTGGTTCATAGAAAGCCCTGTATATGCATGCATGCCAAAGTACATGTGTGTATGTGAACATGTGTCTCCCAAAGCTAGAAGCTTCCTGTGATTAAGGAAATGAACAAGATGAGAGATAATACAACTTTTATTTACCACATGGTCTCTGCTAAGGCAAGTTGATAAAGACTTCAAGTCCTAGTCTGGGAAGCTCCACTTCAGAAATCTTACAAGCTCTCTGGGAAGTTTAGTCAGAAGAGCAAAACAGATCATGAAACATTGTGATTATAAGTAATCAACAAAGATTACTAACAATTTCCCACTAGCCAATCTCATCACATGAAATTTATTTACATAATTGTATTAAGGAAACTTAGATATAATGTATGATACCTCATTGTATTTTGGTGAGAAAGCCCAAGGCCATCCTGTTAAAGTTGTAGGTATTGAAGATGTCAGCTGGGGAAGTCAGACCCTTTTTATTTCAAGTCCTCCACCTCACCAATAAAAGAACTTGGAGGTTGAGCACAAAAGCCCAGCATGAAAAGCTAATTTAGGAAGTGAGAGTGTGTGAGAAAGCAAAAGTATGCACGGGGGGGGGGGGGGGGGGCGGAGGGGGGGGGGGGGTG